CGCTGCTAGCTCGGCTATGGCCGCCCGGAAAGAGGGATTGATTGTACTTCCGCCGGCAGTAGTAGGCCCTTCGCTCTCGCGAGCATCGCTTCTCGATGATGGTACGAAAGAGCGCAGCAAGGTCCTGCTGGCGCCCCCAAGCGTCCATCAGGCAGGACAGCCTGCGGAGGAATCGTGTTGGTTTCGGAGCGACCTTGCCTGAAAGGCCGGGAGTCTAGGCGGTTGCAATCTGCGCCCGTTGTTCCAGAGGACGAGCGCTAACTGGCCTTCGCTTCCTCTCCCGTGAGGCAAAAACTGCAATTCCTACACACACTTTCCTGGAAGAAAGTCTCATTAAAGTGAAAGGAAGTTACTTGTGCGGGGACTGGCATAAGGTGGCGCTGTAAGTAGTAAGCTGCCCAAATCAGCTCGCCGAAATACAGCCCTCTGCAGCCCACGAAAATGCGTGCATAATACCCGCCAGAGGCAGTGCTAGATACCGAAAGATGCGGGGCTCTGGCCCAGAGGACCGTCTCTCTCTCTCTCTCTCTCTCTCTCTCTCTCTCTCTCTCTCTCTCTGTGTGGCGGGGGGGGTGGGGAGCATGCTGTTGTGAACCACCCAGAAAGCTTCGGCTATTGGACGGCATAGAAATTAATATAAACATTTGCTCTAAAGTCTCCGTGTGGGTGGGCGCTTACTGGACTGTTTCCTAAAGACCCCCTCCCATTGTAGAAAGGGGGTGTATGGTCAGGAGAGGGGGGCACTGAATTTCAGGGAAATACCTCAGCAAAAAAGATTCGCACATGCGAGCAACAAGCCAGCTCATCCAGAGGGATCAGATGCAACAGGGATCGTTTGGGCCCCTGTACCTTTACTTCAGCAACTGCCCCGGGTAGCAGGGTGGTGAGGCAGAGGCCCTTCCAGAGATTGGGCGCTCCAAATGAGTTAGGGCTACAGCCCTAGGGGACTATTCCCTAATAGTACCTACAAAGCCAGCCAAATTGAGCACTCGGGTGGAGAATGGGGAATGTTCTAAGTGCTTCTCCAATGCACCAGCTGTAAAAACATGAAGGTAATAGAGGAAATGCCTGCCCTTCCTTAACACTCCAAATCACCTGCCTCGTTCTCCTCGGTGACAAGGTAGGCTTTGCAGAGCAGCAGCAGTTTATCTTCCTGTAAATGGCCTCATCTTTCACCTATAGCTGTGCTGCTTATTTGATTCTGAATTTTTAAATTGTTGCTCCTGTGAAATGTACACTTGCAGCATCTGCCTTGCTCCCCCACCCCTTGCACCCCTATGGAGCTCAAACAATGTTCCCAAGAGCTGTTCGTTAACACAGACACAAGATAGGAGAAGTCTGCACCCAAGCATGCAGCCTCAGGATAAAAGAGCAATGACAGCATGGCTGGGAAAGGGTAGAACGCTAGCTCAGCTTGCTTAAAACAAAAATGTATGTTGTACACATGACAGAAGGAAATGCCAAGAAGTATTTCTGGAGATACATTCACAGTTATACAGCATTATCTGGGGACCCAGCCACTATCCAAACATAAGCATTTCCAAAGATGATCTCAGCATCTTGGTTCACCTGGCTGCAGTCCCACCCCACAGCTCACCTTAATTTTCATTCCTGACTGTAACCAACTTTAAATATGTGTGAGTGTTTTCACTCACTTTCTTCCTCCCACTCATGTGTCCTCCACATTGCCTATTTATGTGGTGGGGGGGCATTGCTTATTAGAATCTAAGGGACTATGCACAATAGAAATGGGAACCTTTTCCTCCCAGAAAATTACATTCTGGGAGAGGGGTAAGGAATGCCTCTCCCTTCTTTCTCACTTCCTCCATCCATCCATTGTTCTATATCTTATCTCTTCATTCTCTCTGGACACACACACTCCATTCATTCAGCTCACACATCCATTTCATTATCTACTCCTCTCCCAGGTGACATCACCTCTTTGCTTACCCTGCTAGGCAATGAGGCTGTATTTATTTATTTATGAAGCTCTATCTATCTATCTATCTATCTATCTATCTAGGAAGCTTCTATGCCACCCCATTCGGCGAAGCCTCGGGGCGGCTCACAACAACAAATAAATAATAACAATATAAAACAATATAAAAACAATATAATTTGAGAGGACCTGGCCAAAGATGTAAAATAAATAAATAATATTAGCAATTAAAATGATGTTTAAATAAAAAGGATTTCGCCTTGCACCAAAAAACAAATTAACGACGGCGCCAGGCGGACCTCTCTGAGGAGCGCATTCCATAGATTGGGCGCCACCGCAGAGAAAGCCCTCCTCCAAGTACTTATCCTCCTAATATCCTTCACGGAGAGTAGAAGGGCATTACCCTGTCCAGGATGGGGTCACACTCCCCCTAAAGGAGAGGGTCCACAGTCTGGGGTGCTCCAGAACCCCAGTCTGTCCCTGGAGTGTCAGGTGGACTCGGTGTCCAAGACTGCCATTTTCCAGCTGTGGAGGATTTTCCAGCTCCTCCCCTACGTAGACAACGGGAACCTGAAGATAGTTACCCATGCTCTAATAACTCCCAAAATAGATTATTGTAATGTGCTCTACATGGGGCTGTTCTTGAAGATGGTCTGGCAATTGCAATTGCAATCCCAAAGTATCCCAGAACAGAACCAACCAAACAACTCTAATTTAATCCTAAATAATGCCTAGGAGTTAATTGGGCAAGTCAAGTGTTATTGATCTAGTTTACATGTAAGTAGAAAGGGAGTACCAAGTCAAGGAGGTCAGCAGCATGGCGAACAAGAAGTGACAAAGTTGTTAGAGAAAAGGTGGTTTCCTTTAGAAATGATTAGTCTTGCTCAAATGAGAAGGGGGGGAAAGAACACAAACTTGCACAAAGGAAATGCAAACTGACAAGAAAGGATGAAAAAAAATGTGTGCATGGCATATCACCAACAACATTAAGAGCAGCAATTAAACATTCTTTAAATGCATCAGAAGCAGAAACCATGCAGGGACACAGTTAAACCACTGAATGACAGCGGAGTTACAGGCATACAAAAGGAGGATGATAATGTTGCAGAGATGCTGAACTATTCACATTCTTCTTCACTGCAGAAGATGTAGGTCAGAAACCTGTGCCTGAACTTATATTTTCAGGAAGGAGGTCTGAGGAACAGAGGTATATAGTGGTAACAAAATGACATTCTAATAAATTGCTAAGTCCAGATGGTATCCATCCAAGAGTTTGTAAACAACTCAAATGTGGAATTGCTTATCTAACGCTATGCATTTTCCATGCCCTACTATCAGCCTCTTTAGCGGAGGACTAGTTAATGGCCAGGGTAGCTATACTATTTAAAGAGTGATGGGTAAGATTCTGGAAATGACAGATATGTTAGTTTAACATATATTCCAGGTATATTGGTAGGAAGTATTATTAAAGATAAAATTATCAAGCAAATCTAAGGACACATCCTGCTGAAAAAGAATTGGCATGGCTTCTGCAAAGTCCTGTTTCACTAAACTTTTCAAGTACTTTAACATTGTCAATAAACATGTGGCTGAATTGTTTTCTTGGACTTCAAAAAGGCTTTTGACCAAGTTCCTGACCAAACCTAGCAGTCAGTGAATTCTTATTATTGCATTACAGTTCTATCCATGTTTTTTTTTCTTTTTGTGAGGCATCCAGGGCAGTTGACACAGCTTTTCACAAGGATCCTTTAAAGTACGTTAAGCTGAGAGTCCATGACTGGCCCAAAGTCACCCTGTGAATTTCATAGCAGAGTGAGGACCAGAACCAGATCTCCCAGATTCCCAGTCCAATACTCAAACCATCACACTGCACCAGCTCTCTAGAGGAGAGGAAGAATAAAAGGAGAATGACTCTTATGGATTGGTAACTAGTTATAGAAAGTGCAGAATAGAAATAAATGATAAATTCTTCAAATACTGGGATGGGAACAGTGCAGTTCCCATCTTTTTTTGGCAACAATATTTTTTTAACTTGTTCGGGAATGATCTGGAGTTAGGGGTAAGGAACAAGCTGGCCAAATTTGCTGATGAAACCAAATTAATAGTAGTAAAAAAAAGGGGGGGGGGTTTCAAAGAACCTCCAAGAAGGACTTCTCAATTTTCCCTTTAAGTATCAGTTCTTTCAATACCATTTGCCAGGTACTGTAGTATTCTAGTCCTGCTGTGGGTCTGGACTAGAATAGCATCAGCATCTGACAGGCTCCAGTATACAGAATGCTGAAGCAGACTGGCCTATGCTCCAATCCATAACTGAGTTGTGTATGTTGTTAATCAGGGGAACATGTTAGCAGCATTTACACTGCAGGAATACAGTTAAATGTCATTTGTTCATCAACTGCAGAAATTAGAAATCTAAACACATTAATTGCTATTACAGTGGACAAGCTGGTTGGCTAGCTTATGAACAGATGAATCTAAAACAACCTGCAGTCTAACAAAGTAGTAACACAACTCAGTTAAGGGTTCTATAGCCTCTAATTAGGAAAGTTTAAAAATTAATATTATTTTCATTATGTTCAAATACCTTAGTATGCCAACACTATCCAAGCAGATTTTTTTGAATTATGTGCCATCAGGTCATCTCTGATGGCGACCCTGTAAGACATGCCCTCAAAATATCCTGTCCTTGACAGCCCTGTTCTGCTCTTGTAAGCTCAGGGCAGTGTCTTCTTTGATGGAACTGATCTATCTCATATTTGGTCTTCCTCTTCTTCTGCCCTTGACTTTCTCTAACATGATTGGCTTCCCCAGGGAATCTTGTCTTTTCATGATGTGGTCAAAGTACAACTTCAGTTTCATTATTTTTGTTTCTAGGGCAAGTTCTGGCTTTATTTGATGTAGGATCCACTTCCAAGCATCCACTTCATAACGGTTGTAATTTTTGTTTTCTTAATAATAAATAACCGATTGAAATGTTCATAACATTGCAGCAGAGAAAACTCACTTTCCATGTCAGAGGGACCAATTCCTATTTTCATGTGAGAAAGACACAGACAACCAGAAATGAACACACATGTATTATTTTCAACTTGATTTTTGCAAATGAAAAAATGTATAAAATCTATCCAATTATTAAACAAGATACAGGAAATTTCAAGATCCAGTTTTACACCAAGATAATAAATCATTTCATATTAAAAGTAGGGGTAAAATTTAAAGATGTTTTACACTGTAAAAAGACTGGGAGAAATCAGAAAAGAAAGGGATGGTAACCCAACGAGCAAAAATTTAGTAAGAGAAAATGTGACTATCTTCCCTATACCGTAACACTGTGAAAATTTCAACAGACATACTGGGCAGACTGAGAATGCAATTCTATATTTGCCTACCTAGGAGTAAACCACAAGGAACTCAGTGGCATTACTTCCAAATCAAGTGGCATAAACTTGCACCAGGGAATACTTCCAAGCCCAAATCCTTTAGTCATAGTCTATTGATGTGTCACTTCCAAATCTGAAGAAGATAAACCTACCTACACATGTTATGCCAACAGTAGCATAACACCCTTCTTTTCAAAATTGAAACATGGACATTCTTAGTGTTTAAGAAGGGCAGCAAAACCTAGAGAGCACACAGCTGATGTATATGCTATCCTAGGTCATTTAAAATGTACAAAGCATGCATTAATTATCAGTTGGTTCATAAAGATCTATTTGAGGTCTATGAAAACTGGTTGGTCTTATCGTATGAACCAGTGTCAACAGCATATTAGAAACTACATTGCGCAGCATTTTTCCTTTCTCATCACTCACTGCAGGCTTGAGCAAACTTGCGTTTCATACTTAAGATTGAAATACATCAGTAGGAAAATGTCTGTATAGCAAACCCTGTCCTGCTTTTCACAGTGTTCTACCTATTACCTATGAATCAGTAAATAATATGCTCTTGCTGCTGTAGCTGTCATTTTTGCAAAAGTTAGCAATCTAAATTATTTTAAGGATAAACAAACCATTGAAAAAGGATTTGGATTCCTCATACTGTGGGCTAGGTCTTGCACTTCTGCATCCTGCAATACTCCATGTCTTTAAAAAGAAGCTCATCTGCCCAGCTTTCTAGAGTAGTTTTTCAATTTTCCTTCAACTCAAAAGTTCTAACCTGGACAGCTGGCTGGCAAGTATTTCAAATGGCAGGAGAAAATCACAGAAATGTAGAGAAAGATCGATATGCCCCTTTATATCCAAAGGTAGCTTATTATACTCTTCATTCATTTATTCCACCTTTCTGTTACTCTTTGCCATCTGTAAACACTAAGACTGGGTATTCAATTGCTAGAAGGAATTAAAATACTTTAACATCTCTGGAGAATAAAGGAAGTAAGACTCTCCTAATTATATTCACACTGGAGAAATCAGGTACTGATTATGCTTAATCCTATTTTATAGTGTCATTCAGGGAATGTGCATGCTTACAATGGGGAACTTTTCAGGCACCACCAAAAAGATCGTGGTGTCCTATCTTCTAACCTGTTCTTATTCACACCAAGAACAATTATTTCACAGCAGATCAATCAGCCTGTTGTTACAGTTTTTCTGACTGGTCAGACTAGTTTGGCCTTTTTAAATGCACAGTTTTATCATAAAGCACAATTGGCCAATTACCTTTGAGAGAAAATCTGATCTGCAAAGTTAGTCATAACTAAGTTTCAGTACCTGTGAGGTTTTGAAAATAATTATACCTAGTCAGATCCATAGGATCTGATTATTAAACATAATAAGTGACCTTAAAAATATTTTTAGCGACAGGAACATGCAGAACCACACCCCCCTTGTTAATGCTGATATCATTTATTTGGGGGTATTTTTGTTCCTTTAAAAAGTTTTCAGTGAACTGACAGGTGAGTTATACCAATTGAAACTGATACAAAGGCAAACAACAGATAGCAGTGGATTTCTCATTTTTTGTTTTTCTCCAAAGGACTGGGATAAGAGCTGTTTTGCTATTGCATCTTCCCTAGTTGGATCTTTTTCCAGGCTTCAGAGGCGGTGAAAATGCAGGAGTCAAGAATCCCAGCCACAGTGAATGTTCCTCCAATGATGGCACAAATCTGAGATGTGTAAAGAAAGAAAAAAATGATGAGTACAGTTTGGGTTTGAGTCTTTTTCCAGGAGCAACCACGAATGCCCTCCTCGGATATACAGGGGGTCTGCTTAGTTTCCATTTAGCTAAATTTGGGCAAAATGCAGATGAGGTTGAAAGTAAGGTCACTCAGTCCAATGGGGTGAGTGAGGACTGGAACCCTGCTTTCCACATAAAATCAGTGGTCAGATAAATTGCCAATATGTACAGGATTCGGTACTGTTTTTTTTCCAAGAGTGCCACAGTCAGTGGAGTGACCTAACACCAGTAAAGACATGTTAAGGAAAACAGGAAGCAGCCAGATAAGAGGCCAGGGTAGTAAACTCCCCTTTGATCCCACAAAAAATAGCTTTCTAAGTAAACAAATTCTACAGAATAAAGAAAACATTCTGCTATGAAAGTAGAAAACCACCACAGAGGACTCCATTGTATTGCATGTAGTTTCATCTGTTTGTGGGGTGGACATCTCTCTGTGTGTATGTGGGTTGTGTTGGTATAATGAGGTCTTGGCTCTTTGGGTAGCTAACCTGGAGATGGTGGGAGAGGCAAAGAGATATGCCAATGACATTTTCAGAGATATAATAGTAATGTCCCACTCCCAGCAATGACAGCAATATCTCAGGGAAGGGATATTCCCTGAGATATGAGGAAGAGGGCAATATTTCCTCAGTAATAATGAGGAAGAGGACAATAATTCTGTGAATGAGCCTATGCTATAAACTGATATCCTGTTGTTTGATCTCCTCCCCAACTGAGGATATGCCACTGGAAACAAAGGGTTCTTCATGGTGGGTGAGTCAATCAACAGAGATACAAAAAGATGAGTTTGCAATGGTATGAACGTAAGAAATTCCATGTTGGGTCAGGCTAAGGTCCATCTAGTAAAGCCTCCTATTCACACAGCAGCAAACAGGCAGCCATGGAAAGTTCACAAGCAGGACCTGAGTCAGAAGCAATGTTTCCCAGCAAATGGTGTACAAAGGCATACTATTTGTGGTATTGAAGACAACTTATACCCTTGGGACTAGTATTCATTTATGTATTTTATTTTTTACCATACTATAGCCAAAGCTCTTTCTCACTGACAGCCATCTCCTCTATGAATTTGTCCAGTCTACTTTCAAAGCCACCTGAAGTGGTAGTTGTTACTAGAACAGGTGGTAGCAAATTGCATAGTCTATGTGCTGTGTGAAGAAGTCCTTCCTTTTTTCTGAATTCTGAAAAGAAGTCCTGAATTTCTCATCAATCAGCTTCACGGAATGACCTCAGATTGTAGGATTATGGGAGAGGGAGGGAAATGTCCCCCTATTCATGTTCTCCACACCATGCATAATTGCGGTACACCTCTGTCCTGTCTTCCCTTTCTCACCCTTTCTCTAAGCTAAACGATACCAGCTCCTGTACTCGTTCCTCATAGGGAAGTTGCTGCAACCCTTTGCTCATTTTAGCCTCCTTTTCTACACTTTACCATATCATTTTTAGAAAGAATGACCAGTACTGTACACATCATTCTAAATGTGGTCATAGCATTATGCTTATTGAAACATTTGGATCATGGAGAAAGGGAAGGAATTGCAGAAAAATGTCTACTTTTGCTTCATTGACTATGCTAAAGCCTTTGATGGTGTGGATCACAACAAACTGTGGCAAGTTCTTAGAGAGATGGGAGTACCACACCATCTTATTTGTTTCTTGAGAAAACTGTATGTGGGTCAAGAAGCAACAGTTAAAACGAGATATGGAACAAATGATTGGTTCAAAATTGGGAATGGAGTATGGCAAGGCTGTATATTGTTGCCCTGCCTTTTTAACTCATATGCAGAGTACATCAAATGAAAGGCTCGGCTAGATAAATCGCAACCTGGAATTAAGATTGCTGGGAGAAATAACAACCTCGGATATGCAGATGATTCCACTCTAATGGCAGAGGAACTAAAGAGCCTCTTGATGCGGGTGAAAGAGGAGAGTGCAAAAGTTGGCTTAAAACTCAACATTAAGAAAACTAAGATCATGACATCCGGTCCTCTCACTTCCTGGCAAATAGATGGGGAAGAAATGGAGGGAGTGACAGATTTTATTTTCTTGGCCTCCAACATCACTGCACACTGTGAATGAAGACAAGACATTAAAAGAAACTTGCTCCTTGGGAGGAAAGCTATGGCAAATCTAGAAAGCATACTAAAAAGCAGAGACATCACCCTGCCAACAAAAGTGCATATAGCCAAGGCTATGGTTTTCCCAGTTGCAATGCATGGCTGTGAATGTTGGACCATAAGGAAGGCTGAGCACCAAAGAACTGAGGCCTTTGAATCGTGGTGCTGGAGGAGACTCCTGCGAGTCTCTTGGACTGCAAGGTGATCAAACCGGTCAGTCCTAGAGGAGATCAACCCTGACTGCTCTTTAGAAGGCCAGATACTGAAGATGAAACTCAAATACTTTGGCCACCTAATGAGAAGGTAGGACTCACTGGAAAAGACCCTGATGCTGGGAACAATTGAGGGCAAAAGAAGAAGGGGACGACAGAGGATGAAGTAGCTAAACGGAGTCACTGAAGCAGTCGGTGTGAGCTTAAGTGGACTCTGGGGGATGGTGGAGGACAGGAAGGCCTGGAGGAATGTTGTCCATGGGGTCGCAAAGAGTCAGGTATGACTTTGTGACTGAACAACAACAACATTGTAACTTTTATTTCCAGTTATGCCTAAAATGGAATTTGTTTTTTTCAAAGCAGTAACACACTGGATCAACATTTTCATTAAACTGTGCACAGAACCCTAATCCTACAGTGTTCTGATCCTGTGGTGACTTTCTTAACTGGTGCAAAGGTTACAGACATTCTTCATCATAGGATGATCGTGCAGAGGAGTTGTCCACGGTTGTGGTGCAAGTTGGTACTGGTGACACCAACTGCCTGTAGTCAGGCAGTACTGAAAACAAAATAAATCTCTAACCCTAACCCGACCCTGGTGCACACACCTAACACTAATACAGGGATAAAGTTCTATTGAAAAGAGGACAATTTTGGAAAAGCCTTCCTCGAGGAGCTTTTTCTGCACAGCTCATCATTTCTGCCCCTTCTAAACACATTCCAACCATCAAAATCATGCCAGAACACCTCGCTTTTGGAACCCTAACCCAGTGATAGCGAACCTTTTGGAGACCAAGTTCCCAAGCTGCAACCCAAAACCCCTTATTCATCGCAAAGTGCCAACACTACAATAAATCCTGAAAACTGAGGTTTTAGTTAAAAAAAAAAAAAAAAACTCACAGCCCGGCCAAGCAAATCTCCTTGGCAGCACACTGAGCAGCCATGCAAAAGCTCAGACGAGCCACGGCTAATGAGTCGCAGCTCATGACGTCATTGCCTGGCACCACTACTCCTTTCTGAGCATGCGCATGGCCCCTAGGTGCACTGTTATCCAATTCTTGGCTGCTGGGACGATGCTGGGGCGACTTGGCTTGCGTGCCAACAAGAGGGCTCTGCATACCCACTTTGGCACACGTGCCACAGATTTACAACCACTGAGCTAGATAGTCAGGATTGAAGGATCACAAATGCAGAGATGAGACTCTAGTGTTAGAACAGGAGGTTCAGATTTGTCGAGCATGGAAAAATGTGTTGGATTGAACAAGTCTGTACCAAAAAGAGATGGGCTCCACATGAACCCAAAATGGAACCAGACTGCAGACTCTTGATATCAAGAGCTGAGGAGCATCTGGCTGAAGTCCAATCATCCCAAAGGGAAAAGGATGCAACCTGGGGACTGGACAACCTTTTCAGGATCACAAGCTGCATTCCATCATGAGAAGGTGGTTGTGGGGCACACATCAATGATGATGATAGGAGTGAAGGCAGTACTATGCAGGGCTAATGCCTGCTGTGGTGGGGACACTGATTGCCACTCCCTCCCTCTGTCCCCTAAATATACATCCATTTACACACACACATACACACATGCATAAGCACATTCCCTCCCCCACTTAATTCATCCAGTTTTCCCTTTCCCTTACCCCCCCTCTCGCCCACACACACTCATTCATACAAACCATTTTGTCTCTACATCCACCTTCCCTGCTGGCCAAACTGCCAACCAGACAGCTTCCCTGGGTAGCCTCCAGACTCTGCTCACCCTAGTCTGTCTTCTGGCTTGGCTTTCACCATGTACTCCTGCCTTTTTCCAATTCCCACTTCACTTTTCAGGCATGCAGTGAAACCACAGAGCAGAACATCTAACATTTCAAACACAGTGGCACACACTGTGCCTGACTACTTCCTTCCTTCCTTCCTTCCTTCCTTCCTTCCTTCCTTCCTTCCTTCCATTTATTTGGCTTTTTTTTTTTACCAATGAACATGGAGCATCAAAGATGCATGCTAGAAATGCCTGATTGCCATCAATTCTTTCTGTGGTAGTGGCACACTTCTGTTTTCTGGTGGCAACACCATTCCTACTCTGGAGCATAGCAAGGTAGAGGGGGGAATGAGGGGCTGACCAGAGGGAGGGCAAAAGTGCAGATTGCCCACATCTTGTGTAGACACTTTCATTTATTCAAATAGGGATGAAGTAGAATTTTGTAATGAATTCAGGTCAAAATAGCAGGATAGCAGGTCAAAGAAGAGAAAGGGCAGTAGGGGGAGCTGGAGTTCCTAGTGGTGCATATAAATATAAAAGATACAGGGAGTGGTCATAACATAAACCTGGTAGAAAGGAAAGAATCAGTGGGACACAGTTAACCTTGGACATAAACTGCACAGAAAAGACAGAGGCATACTGTGAATGGTACAGCTTCATGTGGTCATAGAGGGCACAGAATCTAGTAAGCTAGAAAACCTATGAATAGACCATTCACAGAATTACAATGGATGGTGATATCAGGCCCAAAAAGGAATGCAATTCTGAAGTCATAACATTGCCTCTCAGACTAAAGTGCTATGTGTAATCCAAAACAGAGTGTAATAATGGGTGACTTCAA